AGGGGCAGCGCCAGAGCTGTGGAGAAAAGCCGCTCAAGGAACAAGGTGAAGTAGGGGGCAGCGAGGGGGAAACTGGCGCAGGGGGCAGGAATGCTGCCATCTTTGGGCTGGGCCACCGTTGCCCTTTTTTGGCAGTGTGGAAATCACTCTGGGTTTCCTGGGTTCTGACGATGGTTCTGGGTGGGGGAGGCTGGTATTTCCCCCCCCCACACACACACCAGGAAATGTGGCACTTCATCCCCAACGTCAGGGGGGAGGTGGGGGAGAAGGGCCTGAGAAAGAAGCCCAACCAGGCCAGCTGCAGCCAGTGCCACTTGGTGCCAGGGCTGACCCCATGGGTCCTGCAGGCGAAGGGAAGGGGGGAGGAACAGGTGCCTCTGTTTGGCCCCCCAGGACCCTGAAGTGCACCAGGTCAGCACAGCCTCTTCGCTCCCGCAGCCCCCTCCTCCGCTGCCTGATGGCTCTGCTGCTCTGGACGCTGCTGGCCGCCTGCCTTCCTGCCCTGTGTGCTGGGACGGACCAGGTGAGTTACAGCCTGCTTCCCTTTGAGAATCCCTCCGTGAGGAGGGAGGCTGCTCTGCGGGAGAGGGAGGGTGCTCAGGGCGTGTCTCTGTGTCCGAAGCCAAAGAAGCAGGTTCAAACCCTGCTTCTCCAACCTGCAAGGAGGCACTGAGGTCAGCGAGGGCCAGGAAGTGGAGGAGCTTTGCTGGGCCCCGGCTGGCAGGCATGTGTGAGGGCCTCGCTGTCATGCGTCTGATTAACGAAACACTTAAAAGGACTTTCAGGCATTTTTACTCCTAAAAGCATTTATTCGTGTTACAGATACATCAGTACAACATGGAGGAAATGCTTAGGACTGGCTTCTTTTCCGCTATGCATGTAAATTTAAGCATTTCCCTCCCACCTTTTTTTGGGGTCATGGTTCACATCTTCCAATCAACTTGGAAGATGTGATTTACTTCCGGTTTCTTTTCCCCTTCTGCCTGGTTAACTATAAAAATGCCAGAAAGTCCTTTTAAGTGTTTCGTTAATCAGACACATGACACTCGCAGGGCCCCCCCAGAATGGGGAGGCCCACTTGGGAACAAAGCCGGAGCTGGGCAGCTCTTAGCCAAGCTCAGAGAAGGGGCAGAGGGAGGAAGAAGCAGGTCTGACGCAGGAGGGTTGAGTCAGCCCTGGGGGCAAAGGGGAAGCTCCTCCCCAGGGCAGGAGGGCCGCCCGGGGGCACCAACACGTGCCCAAACGGTGCGAAGGGCAGTTGGGGGAGGAAACGGGGGGGCTTTCACCCTCATGCTGGGCGGGTGGGCAGGGAGGGTGTCCCTCTGTAGGCCAAGACCAGGCTGTGGACGGCCTCCTTCGGTTGGGCAGGCAGTTCCCACAGTCTGCGGCTGGCAGTCCAGGGCAGCGGCTCTTGGAAGCAGGCGGGGTAACGACATGCAGCCGTGTGCTGGGATCTGGTCTGATCCCGTCTGCAGTGCGGGATCCATTCGTGTATCTGCTTTGAGTCCGGCTGTCCAGTGGGCTGCTTTAGACAGCTCCTCCCCTTGAAGGGTGTCGATCCACCTTCCCAGATGAGCCGAGATTAGCACAAGATTTAGCACAACAGACCAGCAATCAAGAAGTAAACCGTTCCCCGGTGAAGGAGCTGCCAACTCCAAGAACCAAACTAATATTGAACAACCACCAACACTGACACACATGTATAGCAACACTCAGCAAGCCGCCCTTCGTTCCAGCACGGATGAGGTTACCTAGTTGGGTAACGAAACGCCTGCCAGAAAGCAACCCGGCTCAGAGAGGACCCCCCAGGACCTGCTTTGAACTGGGGGGGACTCCTGGCAGGAGATTCAGAGATTCTTCTCTCCCCCCACCCTCCTCCCCTTGCAGGTCACTGCTGCGGCGGTTCCCCCTGAAGACGGTCTGCTGCTACAGACGGGAACGGAACCCGGGTCCCAGGGGGCCCTTCAAGGCCCCACAAAGTTGCCTCCCCACTTTCCAGATGAAGCTGCTGGCCAGGGGGAGACGGTTCCGGACGGCCTCCCCAATTCTCTCGAGGGAGAGGAGGAGGGGGAGGAAGGCTGCCGGGACTGGGCCCTCTCTGGAAGCGCAGGCCAGATCGCCTCGGCCATGAGGGCCCTGGGGGTGGACCTCCTGCGGGAGATCGAGGCGGAGAAGGGCATGGGCAACACCATCTTCTCACCCCTCAGCATCGCCCTGGCCCTCGCCCACCTGTCCCTAGGTAACACCGCCCGGAAGACCCTTCTCGGAGGGGGGAGGCTGACCCCCCAGACTGCTGGGGAGCACCCCTCAGGAAAGAGCCTCCTGCAGGGGCGCAGCTGTCCTCCTCCTCCTCCTCCTCCTCCTCCTCCTCCTCCTCTTCCCGCTGATCCCAGCTGTCTGATTTGCTCTACTGAGCTCCAGTTGCCACTAGTGCCGAGATGGCCCTCCTGGATGCCATGGCAGACTCCCCAGGAATGAATGGGGGGAGGGAGAGAAGCCCTGCAGCCCCACTGCCCAGAGACCACCAGCCCCCTCTGGTCCAAGGAGCTCACCCGGGGGAGGAGGGCTGCTCCTCTTAGGCTGCCAAGGGTGGGTGGGCTTTTAAGGGCTGCTCCCCCACCCCAGACTCCTTTGGCCACTGCTTCCCTGGCCCGGGCTGAGCCTGGATCGTTTCAGGGGCCGCCAACCAGACCCAGAAGCACCTCCTGGAGGTCCTGCACATGGACTCCGTGCCCTGCCTCCACCAGGCGCTGCGGGAGGTCACCCAGCATCTCCACCAGACGGCCCTCAGCATAGCCGGCCGCCTCTTCCTGAAGAAAGGTGAGCCATCCCTGTGGGCAAGAGGTGGGCAGCCATTCTGCCCCTGTGTGTGTGTGTGTTTGTGTGTGTGTGTGTGTGTGTGTGTGTGTGNACGTTTTGATGGTCCTTCTCAACGCGGTCTACTTCCAAGGTGGGCCTCTCCCGTCCGGCTGTGGGGGAAAGCCACCGCGGGCGATCTGGGTTTCTTCCAAGCGGGACTGGAAGCGGAAGACCTTCAGCTCTGAGGGTGAAAGGACCAGCTTGGGGGAGGGGAAGGTCGCCGGCCTTTTGACTCTGGGCCTGATGTCCTTCTCTGTTGTGGACCAGGGTTCTGGGAGACCAAGTTCGACCCCCTCCTGACGGAACCAAGCCTGTTCCACCTGGACAAGGAGACTGCGGTCTCCGTGGAGATGATGAAGCGACACATCTTCCCCCTGAGCTGGTTCACAATGGAGTCCCCGGAGGTCAAGGTAGAGGGGGGGCAGGCGGGCGAGGGGGGGAAGGAGACCCCGGATGTCAACTGTCCCAACTTGGCCAGTTAGGAAAGAAAGACTCCTGGTCCCTGATTAGCCCAAAGTAGACTTTACTAAAGCCAAAGTGGTTACAGAAGAAGCAAAGCTGGATCTGAGATTTTTGCATGCAAAGATACGGTTAGCTTTCCCTTGTTCCAGGCCAACCCCTGGTTATCAGTCACTGGCCAATGAGGTGTTAACGAATCATTTGGGAAATGGTCCCCGTCTTTGCCACTGGGGCTGCACATTCTTTTGGTGTGACCTTGAGACGTGTGTCTGTGTGTCCGTGTGCTTCCCACAGGACCGTCTGCTTGGTTTCACTTCCTCCGAGCCCCCTCCCTGTCTGCCCATCCCCCACTGCTCCCTCCCCCCATTACTGATGCCAGGCTGCCATCTTGCCATCCGTAGCTTAGCAGAAGGGCAGCCATGACACCGGGTGCTTTTGCATTCACTCGCCCCGCCAGGAGGCCTCAGGGAGGCCCCGGTGGCTTCTGTGAGAGGGGGCCACCCACAGGCTCCCGTGATTGTGCCAGCCTCGTGGCTCTTGCCCTTCCCAGACCCTCCTCTGCCCTTTCCTCCAGGTTGCCAAGTTCCCCTTTAAAGGCAACACCTCCTTCGTGGCCATCGTCCCCAGCCTCTACAAGCAGAAGAACCTCTCCCAGGTTCTGTCTGAGGTCCTCCAGCACAACCTGCAGGCGTTGTTCCCCCAGGAGAGGTCCACCGTGGTGAAGATGCCGAAGCTGCACTTAGAGGACCACACAGACCTCAATGAGGTCTTAACTCGGTTAGGTGAGAGACATAGAGACGAGGCAGAAGGCCTGCAACTCCCGCCCCCCCCACCCAACTTCTTCCTGCTATGTTGACTTTCCATCCAGAGGTTTTTCCTCCTCCTCCTCCTCCTCCTCCTCCTCCTCCTCCTCCTCCCTCCAAACACCCTGTCCAGAAGAAGGAGATGAGCTGGTAGCTTCTGCAGGTAAAGCCCCATTTGGGTCCCCCAAGCACCTCCAGCCTGGAGAAGCTGCAAGACCTGGGGTGGATCCTCTCCCGACAGGCCGCCTGGCCCAGCCCAGCAGCAGAGCCTGAGGGGCAAGCAGCCCCCAACGATGGGCAAGGAGCTGCTCCCACTTCAGCTGTGGTCCCCTCTCTTCCCCCCAGGTCTCGGTGAGATGTTTTCTGCCCCAGACCTCAGCTGCCTTGCCGAGGGGCCCCTTGTGGTCTCCAGCATCAAGCACCGGGCTGCCCTGGAGCTGGCCGAGGAAGGAGTGAAGGCGGCAGCAGCCACCAGCGTGGTGGGCGTCCGCACCCAGTTACATTTCTTCCTTGACCAGCCCTTCATCTTCATGATCATGGAGGACATGACGGGCATCCCCCTCTTCCTGGGCACCATCCGGAATCCACAGCCGGGGGCTCCCGTGGAGAAGCACGTCCTGCCTGGTAATCATAGACCTCGCTTCCAGAAGCCCTGAAGGGCCTCAGAGCTGCCCCCCCAGTCCCAGGCAGTCTGGCCTTCCAGAAGACCCCTCCCAGTGGCTGCTCACCCAAGCGCATCACCCTCCCGGCTGGCGTCTCAGGGCGGGGGTGGATCCCATCCCAATCTTGAAAGGGAGAGCGTGCCCCTTCCTTGCCCACTAGTGGGTCCTGGATGTGGATTCTGCACCTCAGCTTACTGGACGTCTGGGCTCCCCTAGGCTCCCCATCCCCCCACTGGCCTGGCCTGCCCCCCCCACATTGATTTCCCTTGCCCCCCCCCTCGGTAGTTTCCTTGGCACCAGGCTGGAGGGATGCCTCCCCCTCCCCTTTAGTCAGACTGAACCCCTCTCTGTCCAAGAAGCCCCTCCCCAGTCCAAGCTGCACACAGGCCTAACCCCCTCCCTTGAAAGACCCCCCTGCCTCAAAAAGGATAGAATGGCAATAATGGCACAACAACCCTGTGAGGTTGGAATGCAGACTAATTAACCGGCTGTCCTGAGAGGTCGTAACCCAATTCAAAATTCTCCTTCGTGCTTGTGGAAACATAGAGTGGATAAGATGCGCCATGGCACAGCTAAAGCCGAAACAAAGAGAGGATTCTTTTGAGCACTGAGAATTGGAAGGAAAATCATGCAAAATAAAACTGCAAATATTGCGATTCCTTCGTCTCCTTCGCGTCCGGAAGCAGAGCTACATAGCCTCCTCGGACAAGAGGGGGGGCTCTCCCATCAGGAGAGGGGGGAGGGGACGTAGGTAGCCCTCAACTTAAACAATTGAGCCCCAAATTTCCACTAAGTGAGACAGTTGTTAAGTGGGTTTTGCCCCCTTTTACGACCTTTCTTGTCACAGTTGTTAAGTGAATCACTGCGGTTGTTAAGCTGCTCACGCAGTTGTTAAGTGAATCTGGCTTCCCCATTGACTCTTTTTGCCAGGAGGTCACAAAAGGGGATCGCAAGCCCCTGGGACACTGTGACTGTCAGAAATACGAGTCGGTTGCCCAACGTCTGAATTCTGATCCCGTGACCAGGGAGATGCTGCAACCGTTGTGTGCAGAACGCTCATTAGTCACTGTTCTCAGCGCCATTGCAATGTTGAACGGTCACTAAACAAACGGTTGTAAATCAAGGACTACCTGGAGCCAGCAGAAAGGGGCGATGGAGAGAGGATCCGGTCTCCACGGGGCACGAAGGCCAGAACCCCCAAATGACAGTGAACAGAGTCGGAAGGGGCATTTCCTATCTCATGCAAAGATATTGCTGGATTTCACTTAAAACAGGCAGAATAAACTCCATGGATAAGTCATATAAAATTACTTTATTCCAGGCATCCTCAAGTCAATAACTTACAGTTACTGCAGAAGTTCTTCTAGAATGCAGATTGTAATCTGGACCCATCTCGTAGGTAAAAGGATAATAGATTTCCCCATTCTTACAGAGCTCCTAACCCTCGTGGCTAGGATTCATGGAGAGATAATAGATTGACACATAAACAGGATATCCCGTAATAAAAACACAAGTCCCTCCCAGTGGTCAGTTAGAACACAGATCTGACCAAACAACTAAAACTACATTTCCCAGAAGGCCATCCTTAAGGGGACAGCACTTTAACCCTTAAAATGCTACTTGCTTTATACACCATTCTTAATTCCTAAGCTAGCTATATGCTCTGACCAGATGGCTATATACTGGACCAGCACACTCCCCACCTGGAATTATACAATTTCCACTATTAACTAACTATTAACTAGAATAAGCAAAAAACATAGCATCAAAACAATGCAGTCATGAGGTAAATACAAAACATGCATAAATCGTGGTTCAATCTTCAAGTTCGGTCTTCCTCATCAACAGTACCAAGTTGGTGATCGGTCTGGTGTAAAGCCTTTTAATGAGAGTCTTTGAGTCACGACATGATTCATGTGGCTTCATGGTCTGGACTTCAACTTGGCCAACTAGTCCAAAGCCAACACAATGCTGGGCTGCATTAACAGAGGGATAGAATCAAGATCAGGTGAAGTATTAATACCACTTTACAATGCCTTAGTAAGGCCACACTTGGAATACTGCATCCAGTTTTGGTCACCATGATGTAAAAAAGATGCTGAGACTCTAGAAAGAGTATAGAGAAGAGCAACAAAGATGATTAGGGGACTGGAGGCTAAAGCATATAAGGAAAGGCTGCTGGAATTGGGTCTGTTTAGTTTAATGAAGAGAAGGACGAGGGGGGACATGATAGCAGTGTTCCAATATCTCAGGGGCTGCCCCAAAGAAGAGAGAGTCAAGCTATTCTCCAACATGCCTGAAGGCAGGACAAGAAGCAGCGGATGGCTTTTTGGATTAAGATTTGGTGGAACATTCAAAAGATTTTTAAGAGAAAGATAAAGTTCACTCCACAATTATTTTTGTTGGGTGTTATTACAGATTGTGATACTAAAGAAACTAATTTGATGTTGAATTTGATAACAGCTGCAAGGTTATTAGTAGGGCAATATTGGAAAAAGGATTGCTTGCCTGCTATAGAAGAACAGACGCTTAAAGTGTCAAATTTAGCAGAAATGGCTAAGATTTCTGCCTATTTGAAGGATCACTCACAAGAAAGATACATTTCAGTTTGGAGAAGTTGGATAGATTATATTCAGAATAAATATGGGACTAAAAAGTTCCATTTAGCTTATGAGTAAATTTTAGAGTATTATTAGTATTAATAGTTTATTATAGTGAAATTTTTATTAGTTTTAATTATATGATATTATTATTACTTTTAGTATTAGTATTGTTTAACAATATGGATATTCTATTGTTTAATAATTAGGATACTAA